TCGCTAGCACCTGGTGAGCAGTGGGAACAGGTAGAAAAAGGTTCCTTCTCAGTGAAGAAAGAATGCATTTCCCATCAAGCCCTGGCTGATCCCAGCCTGGGAGCAGAAAGCTTCAGATACCATGTTGGTCAGCATGGTGAAGCGGTCCACTGATGGGGTACACCTGGTCTTGAAGAGTTGCATCAGGTTGTTCAGGTACAGCTCTCATTAATGGGTCCCCTTGGGTTTCTTGCTCAAGATGTCTGCCATAGTGTTGTCAGCCCTAGCCAGGTAAGATGGTCATGATGGTAATGCCTCTTTCCAAGTCCCAGATATGCAGCATGAAGTAAGTCATGAAACAGACTGCATACTATCTTACTTGTAGTGTTATCTGAGGTGACCTGAACATGCTGGTTGAATGTTCCAGGAGAAATTGGAACTTTCTGAAACTGGTGCCTTTGGGACCATAAGGAGTTTGAGGTAGTTGGTATGTTCCTTCTGGTTGCAATCAGTCCATGCTTCATGTATCCTGCTGCCAGCACAGTGCACTCCCCATCCCAGATGTGACACATCCATCATCAGGGTCAGATCTGGTTCCTTGAGGGCAAAGGAGTCACTGTCTGTCAGGTTGTGTCAGAAAGTCCATCAGGTTAGGCTTGCCCCAGCCAAATGTGGGAGCACCAGCCACTTCCAGAGCAAGTTGCACTGGGGCTGGTAGGCACGTGTGAAGCAGAGCTACAGCGGCCACCAAATAGTCTGGTGAATGAGGTGACAGTGACCATCACTGCTATGAGCCCCAGAAGCCGTTACACCTTCTGTACCATCATTCTTGACTTGACCTGGAACTGCAAAGCCAGGTCAATTCGTGCTGATGCCATGTTTGCTGGAAGGTACCTCTGTTGTTGTAGTGTCCACCTTCACCCTGATGTAGATGATGGACAGAGAGAAAAGAACCACAGAGTTTTTGGTGTTAATGCAGTCCCAGTCCTAGATGAAACCCAAAAGGCTGTCTCAGGACAGGGTAACCAGGAGCCAGTTTCCAGGCATGGGAAGACCTTGATTCCTTGTAGCAGGAGGTGGGCACACACTAGACATGCATTTGGCAAAAACCTGGAAGACTGAGGAGAGGCTGAATGGGAGTATGGAAAACTGGAAAGCATTAGGCCCAATTTGGTACCAGAAGGAATGCCAGTAGTCCTGGTAGATGATAACATGAAAGTAGGCATGCCTCAGATTGATTGAAGAGAATCAGTTCCCTTGGGGAAGCAGTGGCAGAAGATTCTACAGTGAGAACATGTGAAACTTCTTGTGGGGATACACAAGTTGATGTCTCACAGGTCTATGATGGGACGGAAGTTCCTCCTCTGTGATGGTGAAATACTCTGAGTAAAATCCATAGTGGAATGGACTGGATAGTGTCTTTCAAAGTAACATGGCAACATCCTCCACCAGCATGGGAGAGGGCAATATTGTGCGCATGGTCCCGAGCAGTGGAAGGATGTCAAATTCTCCACAATGGAGAGAACCCACTAGTTTGAAGTTATGGCTTCCCACTTGAGAAGGTATATAGTCAGGCAGCCTTTGGACCATATCTGCATGGTTGGAGGTGGGGTGGTTTGCACAGCAATCAGTAGCATCACCTCTTGGTGTCCAGCTTTTTTTTCTGCATGTGCTGGAACCATGAAGTGTCATCCCTCTGGTGAGGCTGGGCAGGCAGCTGGCACATAGCTTGGTAGTAGTGTCCCTGCGGTTGGTATGAGAAGGGGACCCCAGTCCATTTATGTGCTCTCAGTGGGGGCATAAAGCCCATCTTCCTGACTGTGGTCCTGGCTTTTTGGACACAGTCCAGTTTTTTCATAGGTTCAGGTATCGAAGAGGCCCTCTCAGTTGAAGGGAAACCCTTCAATTCTGATCCGAGCCTCTTGAGAGAGCCTCTCTGCACAGAGTCATGTATATGCTAAATTGTCACCATGCTGAAGAGGACCCACAAGTCTCAGGTGATATGATGGTGGGTAGTATTAATTTGCTTAGAGTCACATCAGTCACTGAATCCCCTTCTTCCTTATTAAGCAGTCCCACTACCTGTCTCCCCGTCCTCTTGCTATTTACATGTTGACAGAAGCCCTTTTTGTTATTCTTTGCAAGTATCAGCACATACTCAGCCTTAACCTTGCAAAGAATCTTACAACAGGCCTCCTCCTCTACCGAGATACCCTTTTGTCCACTTGCCTCAGTGCCCATTTCCTATGGAGGTTCCTCTTATGTCTAATCCCTCTTGCTACCTCTGTTTGCATCCATGGCAGTGCTCTCCTTCCCCTCCCCACCTTGCTAACTAGCAGTATCATCAAGGCTTGGGCTCCAAGGCCTCCCTTTTTAGTGCCATCCACCCCTCCTGGACTCCCTTGCCTTCTAATGCCCTCTCCCATGAGACTTTCCCCAGTCTGGGCTTCAATTAACCAAAGCTGAGTCCTTGTGAAGTTCCAGCTTCTAGTACTTGAACTGCCATTCATCCCTATCCTCTGATCTCAAAGGAAAGGATGAACTAATCACTCGCATCCAGAGCTCCGCTAATCTGTACCTCATCTAAGTGGTCTTCCCTGTTGGTCAGAACCAAGCCAAGGATATTTTCTTCCCTCGCACTACCTGTCTTCACACGTTTAGGCTTGCATACCTTTTTATCCTCCTAATAGCCCTTGCTCTTGAGTTGCTTTCTCCTTTCCTTGTACTTCTTAGACATACTGGAGGCAGCTAATGGCTTTGAAGCTGCTGAGGTCAGCTTTGGCTTGCCTGGAGCACCAGTCAGTGGTTGCTTTTTCACAGCCTCTCTTGAAGTTGAGGGGCCTTCACTCTCATCGCCAGCAATGTCCTTCACAGTGAAGAGAGCATGCTCCCACGTTTCCATTTTTAGGTCACTAGCCCTGCTTTTCAGGGCCTGCTTGGTGAAGGCTTGGCAACGTGGGCACCTGTCCACACAATGCTCTTCCCCCAAGCAGAAGAGGCATACGGAGTGGTCATTAGTTGACAGCACTCATTGGGTGTGGGTGCCTGTGTAGATGACACTGATGGTGAATGATGGTGATGATCCACTGATCATCAGTGATCCACTGATGGTGAATGATGCCCATTTCTTGTGCCTGTCCTTGCCCTTCTTGGGCTCTGCCATTTTATGGGTCTTCTTGGCCCACTTTTTCATCCTCCTCATCTGTGCATTCAAATGTGGTGGCACAGACAGAGTGGCTGGTGGAGGCCCAGCAGGCACTGATGGAGGGTGAGAAGCAGAAGCCACCTGTGGGGTGGATGGGTGCTCCAGGGGCACTGCTGTGAATGAGCTGACAGCCATAAGAGCATGGCTCCACATTTCCAACTTGAGCTGACCTGCTCACAGTTTGAAATGAAATGAAATTTATTTGCATTAGCCATATGCCTTTGCATAAAATATAAAATCAGCATACAAGATCAAGAAAATGGAACTCCTCTGAAATGACCTGCAAGTAACATTGAAGGCATGATGACATTAAGCCTTGCACATGTAAAGGCCCTTCTATATTTTGGGATGTTAGCACTTGCAAATACTGTGCCATTGTTTTTGGATGACTTATTAAAGAGCAGTCATACCAAGGACATGATTTTTTAGTGAAAGACAGATACTTTTATTTTCAATATCATGTAGGTGCTGCTTTAATAAATTTCTTGCCTTGCTATACCAATGGTCAGTAAAAAAAAAATCAGGTGATAATTCAAAAGTAAGTATTTTGGGCTTAATAGCTCTCATCTACTTACTCTCATGTCAATCCTCCATAACAAAAGAAAGCAGACCAGATGGAGCCAAAAGTAAAATGTCCTGAACCAGGCCTGTGTAGACACTGAAGACCACTATCCAACCTCAGAGAAGCATTTGGAACACAGACTGATATGGCAAATAATTATCCAAGAAACTTAAGACTGCACAATTTCTATTGATTTTAAGTTTGTATTGGCCCAGATTGGAATCCCATATGGCATCTGAGCTAAGGGCTTTGATCTATAAATTCCCAGCCCTGCTGGTATGAAACTCTGACCTTTGTGGTATAAAGAATCATGTCTCAAAAATGTTATGGTATGTGAAGCCTTTTCCACAGCATATTCTTGTTGAGCTGTCCCTGATACCTGAAAAATCATGCCAAGATATTGATTCAGTTTTTCCAAGCCTGCTGAGTAAATGCCTGATAGTGAGGACAGGAGTCTTCACAAATACTGGTTTTCACAAAGCCAAAAGGCACAGCAAGAGTCCATCCATAGTGGGCAAATGGATCCCACAATGGACACATTTCCTGAAGTCAACTTTGAGTGCCATCAGGGGAGAGAAAAGAGAGATACCGAAGTGAAAAAAAATAAAAAGAGACAACAAATAGGAGGGGTTTTTTAAGAGTCTTTTTTTAAGGTTTCAAGCATAAAAACATGGTTCATCAAAAAAGGGAGGGATCAAGAAATGAAGAGTGGAAGGAGGAAACAAAGGAAAAGATCTACAGAAGATCAAAGAAGCTTTTAGAAAGAAGGGGGGAAATGCTAGGAAAGACCTGAAGCACTCAGAACAACAGTTGGAAAAGAACTAGGGAAAATGGCAAGAGCCCCTCCTAAGTATACCATGAGGGAGGAGTGGGGCTCTCACCAGAATGCATTTAGCTAGGAAAAGCTTCCCAAGAACAGGCTCTATGCAGGTACAGAGCCCATATATGTGATGCATAGAAACCACAAAGAAGAATTCTAAATTCATTTCTAAAAACTAAATTTAAAAATTTGTTAGCCTTCCCAACTTGAGTTCTTCTTAATGTGTTGGACAATGACTCTCATCATCCCTGACTACTGGCTGAGACTGATGAGAGTCCCAGTCCAAACATCAGAAGAGCAACAGACTGGGGAGGGCTAATTTATATTTTATCTTCAGTAGCACCTTAACTGAGAAACACATAAAAGTATACTTTAAAATGTCAGGCTGAAGACAGCAGTTTCTTGCCCCAAAAAGTTGATATTAAAATAAATACCTTTAGGTGGAAAATATGACTTGCTCTCAGCTTTATGAGGCCAATCCACTACAAGAGGTCCAAACCTACGAAAGCTGGCAGTAATTTCATCTATATTTAAAAAAAAGCAGACAATACTCAGGATCCTTAGAAGGAAAACACAGAAAACTCACAATTAATTATGTTGATACTACCTAGTTTTTTTAAATATCAAAAGAGCCAGTAGTGGCTCATTTTTTCACATTGGGGACCAACCTTGAATCACCACAAGCCTTATTTACTTTTATGCTGTATGTCCCTATTTTTTTCCTCCCTGCCTCCCTCTGTTCCCTTCTATCACTTTGATATTTCTTTCAGAAGGCACCAGTGTGACCCATCATAGGTTGGGATAGAAAACAGAAAAATAGATTCTGGCCAGTTAAATTAAGGGCCAGTGAGCAATGCTAGTATAAGCAGGTTGCTTACTTGTAACTGATGTTCTTCAAGTGGCCATCTGTGCAGTCACACATATGGGTGCTGCGCCTGCGCAGTGCCTAGGCTGGAAAGATTGAAAGCTAATGGTTTTGGCGGGAAAAACTCCGCTCCCCCTCCCCTCGGTAGTATATATAGAGCAGAGTGTCCGCCATTTTCTCCAGTCTTTGGAGACCGTACGTTCACCACCCCATGGAAGAAGACGGCATAACAATCTAGTATGTACCAACATATTCCCTTTCGATACCAACATTACAAGTATGAGGTACCGAAGCAGTACGACCACCTTTTCCTTATGGAAGTTTAAATAAGGTGGATCGATTCGAAGAGCACAAAGTTCACTGGCTCTACGAGCTGAAGTAACTGCAACTAAAAAAGCCGTTTTCCATGAAACAAGGCGTAAATCGACAGTGGCTAACGGTTCGAACGGTGGTTTTGTAAGTGCCTGTAGGACAACTGAGAGACTCCACATCGGCATAAATGGCCAAATGGATGGGTGTAGATTCTGCAGGCCTTTAAGAAATTTCTGAATAAGCGGCTGCAAAAACACCGACAGCCCTTGTACTACACCATGATAATGTGAAACTGCAGCTGCATAAACCTTAATCGAGGAGGGTTTCAGTTCCGAGCGATGCAGGTGCAGCAAAAACTGAAGAATGTTCTCAACCGATGCTGTAAGCGGGTTAAACGAGCTAGATTCCGCAAAGGATTGCATCGGTGACCCCAGAGGAGTAACCTGCATCGCCGCATGAAGCATCGGTACCGATGGCATTGGTACCGAAGCTGCTGTCAGGATCGATGGGGCTGTCAAACCCGAATCCCGATGCCTCTTATTATGAGGCGGTTTTGCCGCCTTATCTTTCTTCGCCTTTTTTGAGCTGAAGATTGATCTGATCCTCCGTGCTTCCTCTTTTCCCATTGTTTATGGGGGGGGGGGAGAGGTAACTGAGCCCCTGGGGGGGAATTTCCACCGTCAGATGCTTGCGGCTGCAGCATAGGCGGCGTGGGCGAAGGGCGTTGCCCAGACATGCCCGCAGCAGAAGCTGGGCGTTGAACCGGCTCGGACGAGGCTGAGGCCTTGCGCTTAGCAGATGGAGCATGCGCTGGCCCGGGTTTTCCTGCAGGCTGCTCAGATTGCATCAGCACTTGATACCAAAGGAATTTGCGCAGCCGGTTCTCCCTATTCTTTCGCGCTTGCTTAGTGAAAGCAAGGCAATGATGGCATTTATCAGTCCTGTGCCCCTCGCCGAGGCAGAGGAGGCACAAGTCATGTGGGTCTGCCGGAGACATTTTGGACCCACATTCCGCACATTTGTGGAAGGCCGCTCGCTGCGCCATTGCAGAAAAGGAAGAAACAGAATAGAGAAAAGAGGGAAAAGTAATATATTTTTGGGGGGTTTTTTATAGGAACAAGTAAAGAGAAGAAGATATAAACTGGAACAAGGGAATAATAACTTGGAATAAGAGTAAGAAGATAAACGGTAAGTAATGAACAATACTGAGTCAAGCGAGAGACGAACAGGCACGAAGCACAGCGAACGGCGGTCGCAAAAGACTGGAGAAAATGGCGGACACTCTGCTCTATATATACTACCGAGGGGAGGGGGAGCGGAGTTTTTCCCGCCAAAACCGTCAGCTTTCAATCTTTCTGGCCTAGGCACTGCGCAGGCGCAGCACCCATGTGTGTGATGCAGAGGCCACGACGAAGAAATTAAGTTACATGCGATCTAGGTTTTTCTCTAGCTATACATAAACCTAAGATTCTGCTTTTTCCAATCTGCCTGGGAAAACTTTGTATTTCTGTAGAAAGTTAAATTGCTCCAAACAGAAAAAAAACTTGTTATGTTTTGATTAAGATAACATTAAGAATCCAATGAAATTCAACATGTTTTACATTCAATAACTAGTGAAGACATGTGATCTTAATTGTATGGCATATTCATCTAGTAATTAGTTCAAGTTTATTTGATTTAAATTCACCTCTGTTGTGATAATTTGCTACAAGAGAAGAATTCAGGCTAATTTTTCTAGAGCTATATATTGTGCACAAATGTTCCCAAGTCATCTGATTCAAAGTGTTACTTTTTTCTCTGTGTGTAACTATACTACAACTAACTGTTCAGTCCTATGCTTATTAATTGAGAAGAAAGCCCCACTGAACTCAATGGGACTTATTTCCAGGCATTTGTACCATGGACTGCAACCTAAATTGTTGAGTTCTAATTCTCACTGAGAGATAAGCCTGTAATCTAGAATAAGCCAGCAGACTAAGTCTAAAGAGGTATAAATTGAAATAATAATAAAAATCTTTGTCTACTTTTGTTTTCTCTCACTTCTTAACCTGTTTGCCCACTCTTGTTTCCTAGACTGTAAACACCTTAACATAAGGGGCCTGCCTTCTCATTCTTTTTTAAATGCTACGTACAAGAATATTAGTGGTATCAATTATACTAATTAGACTATACTATTCAGACTACAGGTAAAGGCTCACATGATTGAGTGTTCCTCTAGGGAAAGCAGTTCCTTGGGCATTTAAGCCTTCTTTTGACATTCTCAGTCATGTAGAGTGTAGCGAGTTAGCTCATGTAGATTGTATGAGAATGGAGGACCTATCCATTTATGGAAGGTTCCCCATTTCAGATCCTCCCCTTCCTATTTACAGAAGGTGATAGCAACTCCATGCAGTGGATCTAGTAACCATGCTCCAGCTTCCCCCCCTCCCTCACATGAACTACTGAAAGTCTAAACAGGACTTAAGAAATCTTATAAGATCCAACATGTTAACTTGTTGTTAACTTAAACTCTACAAATAAAGAACTAGTTCAGGAGTCAAGAGCTAAACTGATTCTAGGGCCAATCCAAAGGATTGTATGTTGTCAGCAGGTGGGTGTCGCTTTCATGAAGCTATTTCCCCTTCCTGAGAGGAGCTATCCTTTTCTCAGTATAGAGAGAGGCATGGAGCTATCACTGTATACCTCTTTGCACAAAGGTACTCAAACCAACAGCTTCTCCCACCTCTTGCCACCCATAGCGGCTGCACACTTAGCCAGCACCTGAAAGAACAGTTCCTCCAAATGCAGAATGAGTGCACAGCTGGCTTCATTTCCTCCTTGCCTTTCACAAATGCAGAATGAAAAGGAGAAGCAGACTGAGTGATGGCTTCAAAGAGCTCTCCCTCTGGCTATGGTAAGGTACAAACACTCCAGTCCTCTATCTCTTCTTGGCTACATCTTCCCCATCCCTGGACTAGAGCCTGAAATACTGTTGGATCTTGTTAGCTGCTTTTAAAAGACTAATTATACCTTCTTCCCAGTACTAGAGGAGTTTCACAGTACCTTCATCAATGTCAGGAGGCAGACCTCCAACAAACACTTTCCTAGAATAGCGTTCAACTCTTTCACCATTCTGACAGCGGGTTGGAGAGCTGAGACCTGATGATAAAGACTGGTCACCATGACTGTCATCTAAGAAGCCATCTTCAAAAGGGAAGAGAGAAGACCGACCTGCAACAGATAAGTTGTGATTTAGAAATCAGAATTTTATACTTTTCTGGTAAGACAGATTCAGTTAACAAATATGCTGCTTAAGATGCTGCTATTGACATTTCTCATCAATGTTTTTAACTCCTATTGTATCACTGTCATATCTGGAGATAAGTGAATTCAACCTTGCAGGTAAGCACAAAAAAATTACCAGTCTAGAAGCTTTCACCTGCCTAGCTGCACAGAGGAAGGCTTGAACAGTGCATATTAAATCATTACCCTAGAAAATATTGTTACCCTAAGTGAGTGACAAGCATGAAGTTCATTTTTCAAGACTCCTGGTCAAGTATGAGTGAGTTCACTTTATACTACTATGCCAATTTTTCATGTGTAGCCTACAAACACATGTGCAAAGTATTAATTCTGATACTAATGTGTGTTATCAGCGATGATTGGTTTGAACATGTGCATGTGAACAAAGATGGGGGTAGCCTAATATCAGCATCTCTCTCTCTCTCTCTCTCATTCTCTGTGGGGGGGGGGGGGGGGGGGGGAGGGGGGAGGGAGGGAGATCAAGTGAATTCAGAAGATGCTTTTGGCCAACATGGAACAGGAAAGCCTTTATTACCTTTACTTTTAACAGAAAATATAGACTACAAAATAAACCTTTAAAACACATCTCCTGTTATTTTTTGTGGACATTTTCACAGTGAATATTGATTAGACTATAAACTGTAATTAAGTTGTCACCTTCAATGTGCTTTATCCAGAGCCCAGATTCTTAAATGGAAAATAAAGTATTATAAAAATCCAATATGAAACATTAATCCCTTCTGTCACTTGTAATCTTTATGTGGTATAAACTGCATTATAAAATCATAGTAGGCATTCATTGCAAATTAGTTTAAATTTATCAAACTAAAACTAGCTTTGGCAAGTCCAACTGCACAGAAAACCTGAAGCACTCTTTATCACATAGGGGGAAACCCTTCGTTGTTTTTTCAGGGGTGCTTCTTTTGAAGCAATGTTGATCGTATAACATGCTTTCTTTCTAGAAACATAAAATAACGTAGAAATATAAACAGTGCCTAATTAATACAGCTAACCAATAATTTGTTTTGACTTTACTCAAAAGAGAATACATACATACACACACACATACATACATACATACATAGTTACAGAAGCTCCCAGAGGGAGAGATTCTCCCAACTCCCAAAGCTACCTGTCTTCTCCAAAATGCTTAACTGAAAAATCAGTCTTCCTGAATAGAATGAAATGGTGTGCTGGGGCCACTGGTGGAGAAGAAAAGCAACCAAGACTGTGTTACAGATAGCTCAGTATTGAAGGAACATGCCAGCAGCTCCATTGCTTCATCCCATGTTGTTCAGGAGCATTCCTGACCTGATTTTTGAGGGCTGCAGGTAAGTGCAGGGATAAGGAAGGGATGGAAAACTTTCCATTAAACTTCTAGATTAACTTATTTTAGGATCTAAGCCTGTGTATGAAAATGTTTGTATCAGTCACTGTTTACGTTTAAATGCTGTTTGCTAAAATGTTATCTTAACTATAAAGGAACTTGTAAGATAGAATGCTGGACATCTCAGTTTTCACTTTAAAATGCTGTACTAGTACAGAATTGTAGGGAAAACATGAGTGGCTTTTGAGATGAGGAGTGGGCAACTTGAAGCACTGTATGTATGTCTACAACATCTACAGATGACCACTCGAAGAACAACAGTTACAGGTAAGGAAACCTATCTTTATTCTTTTTTGTGTGCATCACACACATGGCCAACTGGTGAGCTTACATAAATCAATCCAAGGGTGGAGGAGGGGTTTTTTTGGGGGATATTTTCTTGGTACACTCAAGCTAGTTTGTTTTGTTGTCAGGATTAGCATGGTAGGGGAGAAGAGGAGTAGTGACCAGTGGAGTCTGCATGCTGTTTCAGTGGACAAAGGAGCACCTGATTTGGTGTAGGATTTGGAGGTTACCCTGGACGAGGGGAAACCCTCCAGTTGTCCCATGGATGGGATGGATAGTGGGAGCAGAGTTGAAACTTCCATAGTGGGGCCTATGGGGAGTTGGTGCCAGGAGATGCCTTGATTTTGCTGGATGCAACAGCAGTTCAAGCAAAAGCAGTTTTCAGCCATGGACCTAATGGTCAGGATGGGCAAAAGCCAGGACAATGGGCTGTTCTTTATCTCTAAAGGGTTTCCACTGCAAGTCCAGGCAAGACTTCTGAATTTCTTTTCTCTGTTTGAAGCCACTTGCACTGAGAGGCATGATAGGCAAAGACTGAATGATTATGTTGATTTTTGAGTAAGTCATAGGGGAACATTCTGATTTTAAGGGAAGTTGAAAAGAAGGAAGCAGCATTAAATATATCATAAATAAATTCACACTTTTCCATCATAGTGAATTTGTCCCAGCTTGAAAAAGGTCTGAGAAAGAGCTCTGAAATTCAAGGCTTAAAAAATCCTGCAATAGTTTTGGTAAATTTGAACATAATACTAAAGATAAATCTGTAAAGAGGAATATTGAGCAACTTAAAGTGCTGTGGACATTGCTACAGACAGTAAAGGAAGAGGAAGGAAAAGAAGGATGGAAGGAATTTGTTGAGATGAAAGACAAGAAAGCAGAGAGAATATGGTTAAAGAGTTCCCTCTGCTGGACGAATAAGCAAATGTCACGAATAAGCAAATGTCACACAGAAATCCCAGAAGAGAGACCAGAAAGCCATCAGATCTGCATATGAAGAACTATCTTCAGAATTGAAGAGTCAAACATCAGGATTCCAAGGGAAACAGAGGTGAAAGGCCTCAGAAAAATTCTTGAGACAGGCACTGAAGAGCTAAGAGAGAAGACTGAAAATGTCAACCAACATTTGAAAGGTATTAAAACTAAGATTGAAAAGAATAAAGACAAGTGAAACAGGAGATAATACTGGAAATGATGAATCTTACTGTAACACAAATGAAAGCTGAAAATAAAACAATTTTAGACACTTCGATCAGTTCACAATGCTAACTGTTAAAAACAGACAGAAATGTTAACCAAAGCTAAGAAATTGAAGATATATCATCAATCAAAAAGAGGAACAGAATTGGAAAAAAGGTGATTTTACTGCAGGACAAGAGTCACATCTCCAATGTTCAAGTACACAGGTTTCCAGAACAAGCATATGCAGAAAAGAGGCATCTTAGGATTGACGTGCTGGAATGGCTTAAAAAAGTCCTCCCAGAAGAAAGATGGAAGCATGAAAACATATGAAGAATACACAGGGGCAATCCTAAGTATGGATCTAGAAGGTTCCCCAAAGATGTGCAGATCAAGTTCACTAATTATAAGAAAAATTGCTTATGAGCAAATTGAGAGATGAGATGGGACAAGTAAAATCCAAGGAAGCTCCTATTTAAGTGTATGAAGCTGCCCAGAGAACCTTTGGGTTATGAGGTGGCATAGAAATGGAAATAAATAAGATATTTGCTATCAGACTATAGCATTTAGGTGCTCCTTAGATATAATCAAGATAATATCATTCATTTTTAGGATTAGGTCTTGTTGGGGCTATCCAATATATATGAGAGTATTTCACAATGGAAAATAAAATAGAATCAACACTCTGACTCAGATCTTAAATATGCTATATGAATTGGGTTGAATAGATGAAGAATTCAATGGAAACAAGAATTAGCAAAAACTGAACACAAAGGTTGGGAAACAGCATCAGAAGGACATGATCAAGAAGGCAAAGGTGACAATGTTGGGGCTTATTGGAAGAGGAGAAACAGTGAAGGCATCAGAAGAAGAAGGTCAAAGAGGTAAAGAAAAAGAGGCTAGAGCAATTGGTGGACATTCCCCAACTTGAGGAAGCAGCCTAGCAGAAGAAAGGTCGAAACAGGCAGACAAACAGGTGGTTAAGAAGGGGAAGAAATAGAGGGAGGGTTTCAGGGATGGAGAAGGAAGAGAACAAATAAGTTTAACAAGGTAATAATTAGTTTAACAGAGACTTCGTTAAGGTTATCTTCTTATAAATTTATGGATATATGTAAATGTATATATGTATATGTATATTTATATGTGTGTGTTTGTGTGTATATACACACAGTATATATTCTTTTTCTACATTTCATCTCCCTCGACAGCTCTCTTCTCTGCTTTTTGTTATCTTTCTTTAATTCATTAGGAGAGAGTAGAATAAACTAAGATACAGGGAACAGAAAGATGGAGAAGTGAAGATGTGTAAATATGTGTAAATTGGAATTGATTAGGATTAACTATGGAAGTGATCAGGCATTAGGAGCTGGAATCCGCAGCAGTCCCTTCCTCCCCTCCCTCTGCTTAAATGCAGTTTGGCAACACTTGGGAGGTTAACTCCTTGGGAGAAGAGGAAGACACTCAGATATGTATGGGGATGAAGGGGAAATAGGGGTTGGGACTGTAGTGGGTGGAATTTTTTTTTTCTTTATATAGGTGTAGAAAGTGCACTAAGGACCAATTAAGATGCATATTTTAAGAGGATATGGTTAAAACTGTGAGACTAACATCTCTGAATGTTAAACGTCTAGAGATAAAGGAAATATGGGAACTTATTGACAAGGAGGATAGTGATGAAGGCTTGATACTGGATACAGGGAAAGCAGTAGCAAGAGCAATAAGTATTAAAAAGGCAACTATTTTAAAAAGAAAAAAGAGTAAACAGGTAGAAATTTTTGAAAGGGAAATGAAGGAACTAGAGATGAAATATATACAAGAGAGGGATTTAAGAATCCTAGTAGAAATAAAATACTAGGAGGAGTAAATATGCCAGCATCTTGGAAATAGTTTTGATTCCTAAGCCTAATAAAGATTCAACTGACCCAGGGTATTATAGACCAGTATCATTGATAAATCAAGACATATTGATTGGCAAATAAAATGAATTAATTTTGATAAATATATTAAAATGCATCAAAGTGGCTTTATAGCAGATCTGACTAGAAGAGATTTGAATATATTAGAGTTTCTAGGCAAAGGG